AAAAAAAAGTGCTATTATGAACATTCTTATGTAACACATACTTTGGGGAACATATGTACCTCCTGCATTATTATTTTAGGTTCCACCTCCACAGGAGCGTTTATGATATTCTAAGAAGCTGTATCCTATTTAGAATTACCCAAATTTTTTTTCCCCCAAGTGCTGGAGATTGAACCCAGGGCTTTGAGTTTGCTAGGCAAGTACTTTACACTGAGCTACATCCCTAGTATTTAAAAAAATACCCAAGAATCAACTTAAGAAGAAACTGTTAAGACCTTTTTGAAAACAATAAAATTTTAATAGAGGACATAATGAGATCTGAATGATGGAGGATTCAATCTTATAGAGCTGCCAATTCACCCCAATTTCCTATATAAGCATAGTGTCAATTCTAATTCCATTAGAATTTTGTTGTTGTTTGTTTGTTTGGTACTGTGACTTGAACCCAAGGCCTCCTGCATGGTAGGCAAGTGCTATACCACTGAGCAACATTCCCAATCCTTTTAAAAATTTGAGACAAGACCAGGTGTGCTGGTGCATGCTTATAATCTCAGCAACTAGGGAGGCTGAGATAGGAGGATTGCAGTTTCAAGGCTAGTGTCAGCAACTTAGTGAGGCCCTAAGCAATTTAATAAGACCCTCTCCCAAAATAAAAATGAAAAGTGCTGGGGAATGTAGCTCTGTGGTAAAGTATCTCTGGGTTAAATCCCTCACACCAATAAAACAAAACTCTTCATTGAGATAGAGAGGCCAGCACTGTGGCACATGACTATAATCCCAGCAACTCAGAAGTCTGTATTAGGAGGATTGCAAGTTCAAGGCCAGCCTCAGCAACTTAGTGTGAAACCTTGTCTCAAAATGAAAATTTAAAAAAGGGCTGGGGATATCTCAGTGACAAAGCACGCCTGGGTTCAATCTTCAGTACAAATAAAATAAAATAAAATAAAATTTGGAGACAAGGGTCTTGCAAAATTGACCAGGCTTGTCTCAAATTTATGATCCTTCTTCCTCCGCCTCCCGAGTAGCTGGGATTGCAGGCATGTGCCATTATGCCAGGATTTACTATATTTTTAAAAAATTGCAAAGTTCATAATAAAGTTTATATACAGGAATAGGTTTTTAAGACAAATYATGAAAATTTTAGAAAAAAAAATTATGGAGAATTTGCCCTGTCAGAAACCAGAACATATTATAAAATTATAGTACATAAGAAAATCAAGGATTGGATGTTTTCTTTGATATGCAGAAGATAGGGGGGGAAAGAATATTAAAAAAACAAAGGGCTGGGGCTGTTAGCTCAGTGGTAAAGCACTTGCCTCACACATGTGAGGCACTGAGTTCGATCCTCAGCACCACATAAAAATAAATAAATAAATAAAGATATTGTGTCCATCTACAACTAAAAATATTTAAAAAAAAAAGGTGGGGGAGATCTCATGGATACAATAGAGGATAAGGATCGAGAGGGATGGAGAAGGTGAGGGCAAGGGAAAGTCTTGGGGAATGAAACATCAAGTTATGCTGTGTCTTTGTATAACGCAATGAATCATATATGTAAGGCACTAATTAAAATAATAATAGAAAGGAGATCAATAGAGTAAGTAGGTCAGGGGAGGAAAAGGCAAAATACTGGGGAATGAGATTGATCAAATTATGTTATGTACTTGTATAAATATGACAATGTATCCCACTACTATGTGTAACTATAATGTACTAATGAAAATAAATGAATATAAAAAAATTATAGTAAATCAAATAGAAAGTTACTGGAATAGGAATAGACAGGTCAGTGGCACCTATTAATCCAGAAACAAACCCATGTATATATGGGAGTTTCATATAGAAGTTTTTGTTTGTTTTATATTTTGTAGCTCAAGGGATTTTGAACTTATGGCCTCACACATGCTAGGCAGGTGTTCTTATACTGAGCCACACCCCCAGCCCTTGATCAGGGAATTAAATAGCTAGATTGTAGTACCTCCATTCAGCGAAATACTATGCAATGGAATATTATTTGGTGTTCTTTGCTCTGATATGAATAAATAACAATGTATGTATAAGTGGGTGTGTGGGTGGTAGTGGGGATTAAACCCAGAAGCCTTCTACCATTTAGCCATTCACCTAATCCTTTTTATTTTATTTTGAAACAGGGTCTCACTAAAATTGCTGAGGCAGCCTTTGAATTTGTGGTCCTGTCTCCCAAATTGCTGGGTTTACAGGCAAGCACTACCAGGCCTGGCAACAATGATAAATTGTTAAATGAAAAAAGCAATTGCAGTTGAGCATGGTGGCATATGCTGTAATCCCAGCAGCTCAGGAGGCTGAGGCAGGAGGATCACGAGTTCAAAGCCAGCCTCAGCAAAAGTGAGGTGTTAAGCAACTCAGTGAGACCCTGTCTCTAAATAAAACACAAAATAGGGCTGGGGATGTGGCTCAGTGGTCAAGAAGTGCCCCTGAGTTCAATCCCCTATACCCTCTCCATCAAAAAAGCAAATTACAGAACTGTGTACACTCTTAATTATTTTATAAAAAAGTTTTAAGAAGCTAATGGTTTTTAAATTGATAAGCTGGGTACTGAGGCTTATGCCTATAATCCCAGAGACTTGGGAGGCTAAGGTGGGAAAATAAAAAATCTGAGGCCAGCTTCAGCAATTTAGTGAGGTCTAAGCAATTTAGCAAGACTCTATCTCAAACTAAAATATTAAAAAGAGGGCTCAGGGGCTGGGGTTGTGGCTCAGCGGTAGAGCGCTTGCCTCGAACATGTGAGGCCCTGGGTTCAATCCTCAGCACCACATAAAAATAAATAAAATAAGGTATTGTGTTCAACTACAACTAAAAAAAAAAAAAAAAAAAAAAAGGGCTCAAGATGTAGTGCAGCTGGTAGAGCCTCCCTGGATTCAATCCCCAATACCAAAAAAAAAAAAAATTTTTTTTTAAGTAAACTTACAACTTATTTAAATCAAAGCCTATCACCTGAGTGAAATGATATTTCCATTTTCTCTGTTCCCATGATGTCCCAGGACCTTTAGGCATTACAATACCAAGTCATTAAGTACTTGGGTCATAAACCTGGGACCAGTTTCTTCTTGAATCCAAAATATATTTTTGTGGGCAGTATATTTTGCCCACAAAATCTTTTGGCCCTTCTTGTTTTCTTTTCTTTCTTTCTTTTTTTTTTTTTTAATATTTTTTAGCTGGACACAATACCTTTATTTATTTATTTTTATGTAGTGCTGAGGATCGAACCCAGGGTCTCGAATGTGCGAGGTGAAGCCCCTAGGCCCTTCTTTGGTAGTAAATTCCATTCCGATGATTGGGGGTGGGAGTGGGGGAGATGTTGTTTTAGTTTGCTAGGGCTACTGAACAAAGCACCATAGAGTGGGTGGCTTAAGCAACAGAAATTTATTTTCTCTCAGTTCTGGAGGCTGGATGTCCAAGGTCAAATCAGCAGCACTGATTTCTTCTAGAGCCTCTCTCCTGGATCATCTACTCTTTGTGGCTTCACATAGTCTTCCCTCTGCCAGAGTCAGTGTCAGTGTCCTGATCTCTTCTTGTAAGGACACTAGTCTTACTGCATTAATGACCTCATTTTTACTCAGTAAAGATTGCATCTCCAAACAGTTACATTCTGAGATGCAGAATGAGGGTTTGTTACATTCTGTGGATTAGGACCTCAACATAGGAATTTGGGGGAACCCAAATTGAGCTATAATTCATGTTTTATGCTAGGAGCTCTTTTCCTTCAGAGAGTGGCTCTTTTGGGCCCACTTACACTTTAGCTTTTTTATTGTGGTCTGTCCCACACCTCTTCCAGGTGAGCTTGCCCACGGCAGAGATCGACTGTAGCCTGGCTGAGTACATTGACATGATCTGCGGTAAGGTTCTCTCTCCTTTCCCAGCCCCTCCTCTGGGTAGCTACATCCTAGGCCTTCTTCAGAAGGGCTTGCTGACTCTGGGAAGATGGCATCTTGACTTACAGCCTTCACTTGTGCAGAGTGGCAGCTTCTAGGGGTGTTCAGGCCTATGAGACTACTTGTTGGGTATTTAATCCACAATCATAGTAATATATCCCATGTGGGAAGGGGTTGGCTATCCTAAACAGAAATGCCCCCTAAGTCCCAGAGTTTGTTTGGTTCTGTTCCTGGGAGTTCTTCTTTGTTTCAGCCATCCTAGACATCCCTGTCTATAAGAGTCGGATTCAGTCCCTCCACCTACTCTTCTCTCTCTACTCGGAATTCAAGAACTCACAGGTGAGATGAGGATCGGGGACTGGACTCAAGCTGTAGTGTGGGGTCTCTGCCAGCCTGGCCTGCTGCAGTTGTTTCCTGTGGCAGTGGGGGAGTTATTATCTTCATGAGTAAGAGCTGCAGAGAAGGCAGAGGATGGGGAAGTATCAGAGATGGGAATCTCCATGGAACTTGGTGTGGATCTGTGGAGGATATCCGTGCTTCAGGAGAACCAGTGGCCCAATGAATAGAAGCAGGAAAGAAGTTAAAAAAGGGTGTGGGGGGGTCACTTTTGAAGGAAGTGGGCAAATTTCTAGCTATTTTTCAAAGATAGCACAAGGTATCTGTTTGTAAGCAGAACTGGAAGAAGATTAGAAGCTTAAAGGGTTCTAAAAGAGGTTAGTTCTTGTGAGAAAATATAGCAACTAGCGTATTCCAAATACTTAACATTCTCTCTCCCCTTTCTTCATAGCATTTTAAAGCTCTTGCTGAAGGCAAGAAAGCATTTACTCCTCCGTCCAACTGCATCTCCCAAGCTGGAGATGTAGCAGAGACACTAACCTTCAACTAAGGAGAGAGGCCTGTCAGCCACCTGCTCTGCCAGAGAGCACTTCACACATTTGCTCTGTCTCAAATTGCCTTCCCAGGAGAGTTACCACTGTGGGGATTTGAGTTAGAAAATTGAATTTCTGAGATTTCCCCAAAATAAAAGCTGGGAATAAAGATTAAAAGGTGTTCTTTTGGGGCTAGGGATGAAATTCTTTCTTTTATTCTTAAAGGTAGTTGGCAATGATTTTACAAATAAAATGCTCTGTCGGTTTTGATATAATTCATATTTTTGTTTTTTATCCATGGTTCCTGTTTCATTTCTTCTGTTGCCCTTATTATTTCCTAAGTGACTAGAATAATGTTGAGGGCTTTAGCCCTCAAGTCTCTCCTCTCTGATCCTCCTTTAACCTGTTCCTTTTTCTTCCCAAGGCAGGCCACAGAAACTGAATTTCTCTTACCTAAGGCAGATTATGGAAATGTAGTCTTAAAAGCTTTGACCTACCTTGGCTGATGGTAGATGTTAAAACATCCATTTCCGAAGATTCTGCCACTTACAAGGAAGGAAGGAATACTAAAGAATCTGAAGACAAGCCCTGCTAGGTTTTCCCACCCAGTTTGTTTGCACTGGGTGGCCACCCAATTTTTTTTTTTTTTTT